GAATAGAGAAGAGGAGAAAAAGAGGGTAAATCTCTCTCTTCCCTCCTCTCCCATCAAATCTCCAAACTCCACTCTGCTAACCTCCCAAGGAAGACCTGATATTCAGGCTAGGGATTAGGGTGCCGGGAATCAGCCGGTTCGCCCCTGATTGCGAGTTCACCTTCTAAGTTCCATCGAGTGTAAGTTAATATGTAAACGCACAAATAATTACCTATCTTTTTCTCGGCATCGTGTTCGCACTCTAAGTTCTATCAATTGTAACTTTGATATGAAAACGCATAGTTGTGAGGGTCATAGGTGTGGTCATAACAATGAGAGAGAGAGAGAGAGCGTTTTTTATGCTCCCTCACTACCACCAGCAGTTTTACACCTCTACTCGGCAAGTAGGCTCAAGTTTCTTGGAGATGTGCAAGCGATTTTATAACCAGGGTTCGTGCCCTCTTTTGAAGAAAAAATTCTAGGACTTTTCAAGGACACATTTCCCATTTCTCAAGGACTCCATTCAATGATAAAAGAAGCCTCGAGTATGTGTCTTTTTTAGTTCTTCCACAACATGGGCAATTTTGTCCTGAAGGTCTTTCTATGTTTGCTCCTTTTAGGCCCTTGAGAATCTGGGTTGGACAAAGTTAGCACCAATATTCAAGGACTTTCCAGCACCGACTACAATTTTCAAGGCCTAGGCCTTGAATTTTAAAATTCAAGGACTTTCAAGGTGCGCGCGAACCCTGCATAACTTTTGTTATAATGATGATGATTTTTTTTGCTTTCTTGCTTGAGAGCATGACGTGCTATGAGAGCTTTCTGGTTAATTTAAGCTTTCGTTAAAATATACGAAAAAAGGATGAATGCAATACAGTTCACATAATAAGTAAGTTTTGTTCTGCTGTCATTTTACCCCCACAGCGGAGCCTGGTACCCATTAGCCCTTTTTGCGCAACTTTTCGCTCTAATAAGCTTTCCCATGTAGTTTGGAGGCAGTGTGACTGAGCAGTTGGAGTGCGGGGGAGTAAGTTTGGATGCACCGAGCTCAATTTCCACCCTAACAACTACATAGGTGGATTGTCAGCTGTGTTGCTAGGCCATGTTAAGACCCGATTTTGGGGGTGCACAGTACAGTGTAGCTTCTGCGTGCAGATAGCTGGAATCTTCCTATCATGTTAATGACACTTTTGTGGTTTTGTAACAACATAAATGTAATACTGTAATAAATTCACTTGTAAATCAGAAAACTTTATTGTTACTCAAATGTTGCCTGGGCTATTTTTAGGCACTTGAAACCTGCGAAAAGAAACATGAAACAATGTGATGAGATTCAACAGTTATTAATTCTTTTATTATACCATTTTGAAATCACTGGTAATCCCCGCAATCTGATTGGCTCTCAGCAGTGCGATTTATTCACGAATCACACTACTTTTTGCTCTAAATCACATCTGTTATAAATTGCATCATTCATGTTCTAAACTGTGTCATTTCTGTTTTAACCCTCTAAGTCCCAATAGTGACCAACATCAATTTTCTCCTAACGATAACCATACATTGTCAAGAGGTTAGGTTACGAGAAGTAATAAAATGATCACCAAGAAGAAAATGCCTTGATCTTTTGTTTAATTCACTCAACTATTCTCTCAACTCTTCTCAAAGGAAATGTATAGAGATAAGTTTGGAGAATTTGTATGTGGATATTGGGGCTTGAAGTGTTAAATCGCAGCATTTTTTTTTTGCTCTATATTGCATCATTTCTGTTTCAGGTACAACATGAGATGTGAGAGCCTTTTTGTTTCTGCTTTTCAACAAAACGGCCACTAGATCAAATAAATATTGGCAGACTGAATTCTGCGATTTCAAAACGGCTGTAAATCACGCGTATGGTTTCAGACCAAAAATGCATGACAAGAAGTTCAATTACCATTATTAGTTTCATGGTTTCTCAGAAAATTAATATTATCTGTATACAAGAAATCCTTACAATATTTTATTGGCAAAACTCATGCAAGCAAAAATGTACATTATTTTGATTGGCTTGGACAAGAGGCACTAAAATTACTACAAACTATGAACAGCTAATAATAATAATAATAATAACAATAATAATAATAATAATAATAATAGTAACAATAATAATAATAATAATAATAATAATAATAATAATAATAACAACACTAATAATAAAATATGAAGTGATGAAAGTTTTGATATTTCCTCACTTAAAAGGGATTGTCTCCTAAAAGTTCCCATCATGGGCAAAGGAACACCCCTTTGAACAATGGGATCACAGGTGCAAGAAAACAAACAAATAATCTAAAAAAATACTGTAGACAAAAAAATTTCCAACAATTACCTGGCATGCAATGCGGTCCAAATCCCTCTGTCCTTGGCTGGTGAGAGATCGGCCACTGAAGTAAAGAAATCATTTTTGGAAATCAGTATTGCTCATTATTTTAACCACAGCCCTCTTTGTGTGCAATGGAGCTATGTGACTTGCTCTTGGCAAGTTAGACTTTTGCCTTTGGGGAATCTTAGAATGGTGCCAAAAATCAGAACCAGCCAATTTTCTATACAAATTGACTAGTATGGCCAGCTTTAGCCTGCCATGCAGACGTTCCTAGGGCTTTCTTTCCCACGAACGTCTGCTGAAATGAGCAGTTAAATTCCTTTCCCTTTGTTTACAAGTATCAGCTGGAGATCATGGCAAATTACCAGAGGACCAATCAGCGCCTAGTGATTATTTAATAAAAGGCCAATCACTCTAGTAGTTTTGACAGGCTAAAAGCAAGTCACAAGCTCAGATAGTGTCATACGTGACCTTAGTGTTTAGATTTTCCTTTTTCCATTCAAGATAAGCTAATTATTTTAACAGATGAGTTTGTTCTACATGGTAAGAAATCTGGGAGCTTTTGCTTTTCGGAGACCTATTCGGATTTTGCGACACTTTCTGGAATCTTGCAACCTGAGTCTACACGCTGAATTTCTCAAGGTCCAAAGTGCACTTCCCCGATCTCGAAGTGTGCTGTGATTAGTCTACGTTTTTCACAGCTTGTTTCAACAGACGTTCGTTGGGGAGAATTGCGTGATGAGCCAAAAGAACATCTGTGTGGGAGGCTAGGCCAGCTATGTCTGACTACTGTTTAGAGCCCTTCTTTGTTTGTGGGAGAAGGTTAAGAGCTTATGACAGTAATATGTTTCTTGGGGCAAAGACTTGCCTCTTTGCGTGATCTATGATTGTAGAAAAATTAATGCAAGACATCACCCAAGAAAAATGAAAACAATGTACAAGTACCTGTAAACAATTATAATAAAGCTGACAACAAAAAATTTGGCCAAGCGCTACAGTTTACAGCGAACAAAGTACATGGATTATGTTCTCTGTTGCTGCAATATGAACTATTTTATCAAAGGTGTGTTGAGATTTTTTCTGCTGTGCTTCATAGAAAGCTGAACATTTATATAATCTACAACCTCTAACAAAACCTGTCGAGAAATATCACAAAAACACCTATTTTTTCCCCTCATCCTGGCAAAAATGGAAACCATCACTACATGAATGCTTGTTTCCCCCTCTCCTTGTCCATTGCTGTTTAGGATAACATGAGAATTATACCCGCTGGTTTAGACCAAAACAACCTTGAACAGGGGGTGGAGAGAGGTCTAGAGAAGATGCTAGTATGGCACAAAACTTACAGATGTAATTTTTGTATATCTTAGGGTTTTACTATATCTGTCTTTTTTTTTCCATAGGGTTTTAAACTTTTTCTTACGGTTTTAGTTTTTAATTAATTCAGTGGGATTCGGGTGGGTGTAGTTTTGGACATTCACGGATATATTATTGTTATTTGTTTTCATACATTTATGATCTTTTAAAATCATTTTTTATTCAAATGCATTGTATCTTTATTGACTTAGTATTTTTATTGTCATGCATTTTATACATGAGCCTCTGGCTCGGATGATTGGGGCAAACCCATCCTACGTATTGACATTAATAAATATTGATTGATTGATCGACTGATGGAAGCGTCTCAACAGTTTTGTCCAGGGTTGTAGCACTGACAACTCTGAGAACTAAGTGCTCAGTAATAGGTTTTAAAAAGGCACTAAAAACACATTTGTTTCAGAAAGTGTTTCCTCACTAATTAATTTTTATCACTTTTTTATATTAATGAGGATTTGTAAATAGGATTTTAAGAAATAATAATTAGAAATTGTTTTTAGAATTTAGAATTATTATTTTTATAAATTATTACACATGATTTGTTAACAGGATTTTAGGGATAATTAGTCATTGTTTTCAGAATTTTTAGAATTAGGATATGTACTAGGAATGTATTTTATTGATATTGCTATTTTTGTTATAAATGTAGATTTTTTTTAAATAGGATTTGTAAGTAGGATTTATGTAATGCACAGACAGATAAAAATTTTGTCCAGATTGATATTTGAGCAGTACAAATTAATAAATATTATTATTATACCATAACTAACTTAACACAGAAAGCTGTTGCCAGGTTTGACTGTATAGAGAGGAGAAGTGTGACATCATGTTACTATGGTAGCAAAATTTCTGGATCACAACAATAGGGAGTTTTTGCAACAGCAAAAAACAATAAGTTTAGATTGGCAAAAGAACAACGTTGCTCATGTATCACGCTTTTTTGCACATTCCTTAGCTGTTGTTGCACGACAGCAACATGAAACTTCCTAATTTCACTCGCCTGCCTTATCCAGTAGGTGAGCACAACACAAAATTTTCTGTTTCTTTTTTTAAACTTAGATACGGTCCTTTTGGATTCAACCCAGGAAATATCACCAAAATTTCACATATTGAATGAAATTAAATAAGATCAATGAAATTTGAAACAGTGCGAATCCACTTTTTAAGTGATGTTTTGATTTGTTGTCATCCAAAAATTTTGCTACCATAGCAACATGATGTAACGACTTCTCTCAATAAATTATCGACAATGAAGAGCATCAATAAATTTACTGCATGTTCAAAAAACTTACCCACTGCTGTCTTTCTCAATGAGCTTCAGCTGTTCAAGGCCTTTTAACACACTGCGTGCTACAGAAGATGAGCTACGCTCAAAGTGGCTGGGTCTTGAGCCTCGTCGCTTGCGCCCTGTTCAACAACAACAGGCTGTTTGTTTAGCTTGCTTCTTGCTTTCAAATAAATATACGTGTAACATAACAGTGATAAAAAATTTATCTTTAACACGCTGTTGATACTCTTTTCATTTGTACACACCAAAAGGGGCAGTCATGGCCCCAGGGGATCTTAGCGGAGACCGTGGAAACTGTGGATAAGAATTGAAGCGTGACCGGCGCCATGCATGTTTTGTGAAGAAAGCTTAAGATAGATTAATGAGAAAGATGTAAAGCTTTTCCGGAATGGGTCAGTCCACGAAATCTATTGCTTGAAAGCGTTGATAACCTTGGAACAAGTGAACATGTCAGTAGTGAAAGAAAGAAGAATCTTAATGAGCAATGGTTACATGGTCAGGTGTTGCAAACTTTCATTGTCTGCAAATGAGTCTCGTGAAGAGCATGCGGTTAATTTTTAGCAATGATTGAAGTGATGCAACATGTTCATCACGTTTTGCTCTTTGGCAATGTTATTTCTCTTGTATCAAGGCCTTTGATTTTTGTGTAGTTATACACAGGTACTCATTCAATTCAGAAACAAATCATCAAATACAATACAAAATACTCAACTGTGGATAAAGTATGACATGAAAAACTTCTAGTGAGGTTATCCTCTTTTGTGTATTAATTGCCTTTTCATTTCTTTCTTATCTAATCTCCACACAAGCACGATTTAATGCTATCAAAAGAGTTCTTGTTAGAATTATGTTTAACAGATCAACCGAAGCTTTCATATTGCTTACAATCTTATAGATCAAAGACAAGATTTTATACATTGCTAGCTCTTGAAAAGAGTTCTACATGTACTGCACAGATTTGAACATTTTGGAAATTCACTTTAAATTTGCAAGGCTTAATTAATGTGACATGCATCCCTGCTGGAATGAATCACTTGAGTCAAGACAGACAATGTCTTAAAATATCAAAAGACATACAGGAACTAAATCACTTTAAAATGAACAAGAATTTTTTATAAACCAATTATTGTTACCTCCATAAACACGTGTAAGGTGACCCACACCAATTCCATTGCGAAGGTACACGTGACGAAGGATGGAGGCTAAAACCAAAGGAAAATAAATGGATGATTAGTAAGATTTATATGATACAACTTTCAATGTGATATGATACTACATAAAATACAACTTTATTCACTTTTCCCTTAAATCTGTTTTGGTTACAAATGTACACTTTTATTCAATTTCTTTTAAAATTCTATTTGGAAACTTCGACGTGCTTACAACCTAAAATGTTAGACTCCAGCTTACGTTTATGTTGATTGCTTCATAATCAAGCATATATTAAAAAAATTCCACAATGAATAAACAAATACTAAATAAACCCAATAAATAAACAACAATGAAAGCATAAACAAACCCAGAACAAAGAAGAAAGCAGAAAGCACGAAGCATACGCATGAGAAAAAAGGAAGTAGAGGCAACTAATTAACAATTATTCCTCGAGCCCGAATGGGCTCTGAGTCAATAGCCCATGAGGGCGAGAGGAATAATTGTTTTAGTAAAATCCAACTAGTTGGTCAAAAATATCGAGAATAAAAAAATTTTAGCTAGTTAAAGCTAGACTTTAATCTTTTTTTGCTGCCAAAAAGCGTGCGCTTTTCACTACCAGTAGGTTATAACATATAGTGTAGTAGTAGCTCAACCAATCAGAACGCAGCATTGACAATAGACCACTAGTTGGATTTTACTAATTGATGTTAGATGTCAGACAGAAGCTTTTGTTTAGGTACAATATCTAACCCTTTTGTTAAAAGAGAAATTGTTAAGTATCTGATGTTAAGAAGTTAACTTACCAATATATAATAAGTATCAGGGCTCAAAATTAAAGGTAACCCATTAACCAACCGTTTGTAGTTTCGAACACCTTGTTACTAAAAATGAGCCTTAGTAACCCGCCACGGTTAGCCAAAAAAATTATTAATTTTGAGCCCTGAGTATGAACATGTTTTAAGTTTAAATTGTTCCTCTTAAAGGAGCTGTGTCACGGCAGTCCAGTTCATTTTGCTTAGTTTTGCCAATTACTCGCCCTCAATCGCTTTGGAACTTAAAGTAAGCAAAGAAATTACAGGTAAATGACAAAATCAGAGATCCGAGACAAACAAATATGTCTCCTGAGCATTATTTTTGAAGTTGCAAGCAGCAGGGATCAACTTTGAAAAACTGTTGGGCTGAACAGTTTTCAAAAACCCTGATTTCAATCCATTTCAGTCTTCTTCAGTTTTGCCCATCAATGGCATCTGTTGTTTCTGTTATGCTATTTTAACCTTCCTTTAAAGTTTTAAGCGGTTATTTTTATGTTTCTCTCAATTTAATGGGCATTTGGTAATTTCCTAATTTGACTGAATTTCGTGACACAACTCCTTTAACAGTAACTTTTTCCCCTTAGATGAGGATTGACAAATTCCTGTAACAATGAAATAACATAACTTTCTTCCTCAATGTTAATAGGTGCAATACTGCTAAACAGCTTACATAACTTATTAGTGTTTTCCCCCTCCAGTGAGGTATTGACAAATTCCAGTAAAATAGAAATTAGTGAATAGCACTGTTTCTTCTTACGAGCTAACAAATGCAATATCACTCAACAAAACCATTTGCCACTAACTTCTGCTCACCTGCTCGGATAAAATACCAGTCAGGATCATAAGGAGCAAGTTCTTTGCTTTTCGCAGTTTTCACCAGGTCAACCCATTCTGGTACTTTCAGCTTTCCACCCCTAATCACAAACATTATTCAGACTGTGAATAAGTAGTTACTAATGTATGACCACAAGGATTATGCTTAAACTTAAAATTAATCTAATGTATACACAGCAGTTTTAAATGTGGCTAAATAAAACTAACTTAGGATAAGTTTAAATTGAGACATGGCTGGCCAGCAGTCTCTCATAGGAGATATGTTAGGCCGGGTACCCTAATGGTGTCGCAAGGGCATACAGGTTATTTTACAGCCTTTCTCTTAAGGTCAGGCCATTATGTTCATGTGTCATTGCCTATCATGGCTTGTATTTGCAAAGTGTTTTTCTGTTCTCTACCCTTCCCCCCCTCCCCTATAAACTATGTGTTAAGTACGTTAGGTTCCACTGATATGCTAGCCTGCAAAAACAGTCGTTTCTCCTCGCTCTTCAAGTTACATTGTTTTAGATATTGTGTACGAATGACAGACAAAAGACAAAAGGCCACAAAGGTCAAATTTAAACGCGATGAAACTGTAACAAATAAGTCAATATCTGTGGAATATATTCTTCTCTAAAAGAAGCATTTAAGTTTTGCTGGAGCTCGTTCGCAGATGAACTCATCACTTAACCAAAATTGAACAAATCTGCATTTGGAACCCCATGACTACCAGATTTTTTGTGTAAACACTGATTTATGTCATCAGTACAGAAATTCTGTAGCTGAGTAGCACACATTTCTCCTCGCGAAATGTCCCCAGGGGCGAGGAGCAAGGAGAAACGACCATTTTCGCAGGCTACTGATAAGTAGTGTGACAGTGCCTGGGTGGATGTCACTCAGGGTTGTCAAGGTTATGCAATGCACCCAGCCACAGTTCATAGGTCCAAAAGCCTCAAAGGCACCTTTTCACCACACTCATCTCTCTTGATAAGTTTAAGAACTCATAAAGAGGGCTTTAGAGCTGCACTGTAGCCAAGAAGGGGAAGCAGTTTAAGTAGAAATTGTAGTGAAAATCAAGACAAAGAAGGCAGAGGATTGGGTTCAGATAGATTCCTGTGTACATGTACATATCTAACCTAAATAGCCACCTCACAGCAACCTTCACAGGCTTAACAGTTAGAACTGCCCACTGTGTAAGTCTCTTAAGTGATTGAGTGTAATAAAGAACCTTAAGCTTACGAGCACTTTTTTGTCTTTACACAAAGATCTCCCAGTGTCCATATTAGAGTCTGAAATCTCCTGGGCAACTGCCAAAGTTTGCCATTTCTTCAGTAGCCGTAACTTTCCGACGATAAAATTTCAACTATTTTGTGTAGTTAACATGAGGCGTTTCCTCATAAACTCCAGTATGCCTTTGTAATATAATAACGTGATTGGTGGGTAATAAAGCAATCAGGTCAAATGTTACAATGCCAACAACATCTTTTTCACGTGTTTTGTGTCATTGCAAATTCATTACGACGGCAGTCAATGGGTATTTTTGGTACAAATGAAGTCAAGCCCCATGTGTTATGATGTCATCTATCATCCCTTTCCTATCAATCCTAAACATTTGAAGACGTTGGTGGTTGACAGCCCTGCATCACAAACATGTATGTCGAGAGTTGATTGGAGATTTGCATGACTTCAGTATGGTTTGATCAACTAAATGTTTATTTATAAAACATTAATGTGGACATTTCAGTTTCGTTTGCTGCCATTAACTATGATCTCTAGAACGCTAGTGGCTTTTTGATAAAATCATATATCTGATGTAAGCGGGGATATAAGCAACCCCTGATCATGAACAAAACAAATTAACCTCCAAATCAACAAACAGAGTAAAAAGTAGAGCAATTTAGCCAAACATGAAGTTGGCAAATACCTTCAGAAAGAGTCTTTCCCTACACTAAATTTCCAAAATAGCAAAGGCGTATCATATGAGCGTTACATAAAAGAATTTCAACGGCAAAAGTTCAGCGATAGGAACTACACTACTAACTTTTTCAAATGGGCCGCCAAAGCTTTGATAAATTCGTGAGGACAAACGTCTTTTACTGTCACACCACCGGGCATCTAGCATCGAAAAATACACACGTTACTGGTAAGCACACAAACAAGTAGTTAAAAGCTGTTTAATGATGTGTAAAGATGCACTTTTGGTTGAATACACGTGGTTTGTGAGAAAATTATGTCCGCCATCTTACCTTGCTGAAGGAGAAGAGAAAGAAAGAGGGGCGCCCCGAGCATAACTAAGGGGCGATACCAGTCTTTCGCGGTATCGTAAACGTAAAATTGGAACGTGGAAGATGGAACTGGGATCATATCCTGTTAGAGCTCCGAGGAGATAAACTGTAATTAGGTGCTATCTTCGGCCTGTTCTTTAAAATTACGATTATTCAAAAGATTATGTAACTTTCATAACTCTTTACATCATATTATTATTAGGGAGTTGACGCAACGACGACTGCGACTTGAATTTGCGCTGGCTGAAACTTTATCGCGCTTATTCCATCTCGGCGTTTAATTCGTCAAATGTTGGTAGAGTTTTTTGGAGTTGAGTTCTAAAGAACTGCATCAAAGTTGAGGAAGAGAAAAAGAAAGTTATTGTCTTTTGTTCCCGTCCTCGACAAAACGTGAAATTAGGCAGATTCACGTTGTAGTCGTGCAACGACGACTGAGAAATGTACAAAAAAGACATTTCTACCCCCCTTCAAAGTTCAGTTTAAAGTTATAACCAGCTGTATTTAGAAAGTAGTAAACAAAATGTGAGTTGCCAAGCAAAAACAACGATAACAAAAATACAGTTTATCCAAATGATACAATTTGCCTGTCCAAGCTTCTAAATCACCCGCCCGTTTTAGCACGTTGTGATAATATCCGAGAGACTGAAACAGAATCAAGTTTTGGTAAAGCTGATTAAACGACTCTTGACTGACCTGAAAATCACAAAGGTTGGCATGGCTTCTATAACAATAATATCTAAGCATTTATCATTAAGATTTTTTGGTAGATTACATTGAGAACAGGTAGAATTTAGATGACTTTAAATAATTAATCTAGAATCATCCAATGCAGAGAAAATATTACAGTTTCAGGGTTCACTGCGCAAATTATGGAAAGAAGCTAGCAGAATTCATAAAAGTTTGTAAATATTACTGGCTTTCAACGCCGAAGTTGGGTAAATACGGCATTATTTCTTGAAAAGAACACAGTCTCTAGTATCGGGGCATCCTACGTATCTCCAGCTAAGAAGAGCTCCCGTCATACTTTTCACCCTCAGTTACAGCGATAAACTAGAACTAAACGCCGTATAACTTAGTACGAGCCGTGACAGTGTAGTGGCTCAGAGCGAATGGTCTCCACAATATTGGAAAGCACAGTTTAAAATTAGAATTCAAAATTATTATACAAATAACCAGGCACATTCAATTTTTGTCACCCTAAAAATAATTACTACAATTTTTACTGCTCGTCAACCTGAGCTGTACGTCAATTTGGAACTTGCAGTTATTCTTACAACTCACAACAAATCAGCCAGTTTGGGTACTTTTTTTGGTCGTGTATTAAACTGTGTAATTAGAAGCGGCAGTGTAAAAGCAAGAACACCGGCAACAACGTATTTAAAGACGCAGTTATAGAGGACATCGGAAATTGAATATATTAAGATTTACAAAAATAATTGTGAAATTTGTTTCAATAATGATTGCAAATGTCTACCGGAATTGTCTTTCAAAGAAAATTCCGGTTAACAGTAAGTTACTGTTTGGATAATTAAAACATACATTATAACTTTGCGTTTTTATCTCCCGGCTTTAGCTACTAGTTAAAGGCTAAGCTTATCGGAGTGTTTAAAGTCCCAGTAAGTCAACAAAGCTTATTATTTTGGCTGCATGGAACTGTATTCAGTGCAGTGAATTTCTTTAAAGAAGTACCCTTTCCGGATGGCTTTAATACCGCCCAGCAAACAAGCTGTTCATAAAACGACGCTTTTTTACTTTTCTTTTACAAAAAAGAAAACTCACCATCTAAAGCTGACATAAACTTCCATTAACACTAGCTAAATGAAAGCAATATTTCTAACTAATGATTTAAGATATTCAGGACCCAATGGTTATGTACGCTGTTTGACAAAAAGGAAGCTATCACTGGTTTTTAGTTTTGATTACAATTATTGCAAACTCAGGATGATGTATTGGGGCGATATGACTCAGGCACTGAGCAACCTAACACCACTGTTCAAATGAACCCAAATTAAAACTCATAAACCTATGCACCTGTGCACCTGCTTAGCCTTTGGATAATTACTAGATTTGCAAGTTCACATTGGTTTATGAGTATCTTATCTTGAGGGAAAACACTCTAGTTGATTGCGCGCAAAGTTTACAGCGAACAAAGTACATGGATTATGTTCTCTGTTGCTGCAATATGAACTATTTTATCAAAGGTGTGTTGAGATTTTTTCTGCTGTGCTTCATAGAAAGCTGAACATTTATATAATCTACAACCTCTGACAAAACCAGTCGAGACATATCACAAAAATACCTATTTTTTCCCCTCATCCTGACAATAATGGAAACCATCGCTACATGAATGCTTGTTTCCCCCTCTCCTTACCCAGTGTTGTTTCGAATAACACAAGAATTATACCTGCTGGTTTAGACCAAACCAACTTTAAAAAGGG